TGCAACGTTAAAATTAAAGCTATTGTCAAATTTAAAAACCCACTTGAAATCACCATAGGGAAGAGACTGTACCATGTCCCAACCATACAGCGTCTAAATATACAATGTATGAAGTCTCCTCATTGATATTGTGCTCTGTCATATATTGATTATTTGCTTTGGCATAACGATTTGTACATTGACTTATGCCGCCTCTTATACCACGTTTAATAAACATTATCATATCAATGTCAGTGAGAAGTTCTAGTTTTACATTTGTATATTTTAAAATAGCATCCCAAGTAAAACCAGGTGTCGTGTAATAGTGTGCAGGATCGAACTCGTATGCTTTTAAGCATTGTTCACAGAAAATTTTCAAATACATCAGCAAGCAGCAAGATGTCAGTTTTCATATATAAATAAACATAATCACTAAGACTTTTACAATTGAATTCTGGCTATACTTGCTGAGCATGTAAATATTCTCGATCTGATATATTTGAATCATTCAATGTACTATAAAAATGTTCTTTTTGGTGTAACTGAGTTTCTTTGAGTTTTTCCTTAGAGTCGAGATACTCGTAAGGAAAAACTCCTTTTCGGGTTAACAAATAAACTTTATCATCACTATAGGTTGAAAAGTTTGATTTAACAATTTTATATTCATTCAAATAAGATGCTAATTTGTCTAAAGATGATGCAATGAATCTAAATTTAATGAGACTTGCTTCAACATGTTTTGTAAAACTAATATATTTTTCCTTATTAATGGGAAGAACGTCAACTTTACCTTTAAAGTCATTCTCGATTACTTTAATAATAAAATGTGCATCATGAATAATATTCAATCCTCAACGTGTTCGGTAAGTTTATCGTTGCTTCTGAAATAGTGAAGACAACAATCGTAAACAAATAAACTTGTGCTCATTTGTGGACACTTGGTTATTTATAAGACGCGATAAAGATTTTATCCAAACATAGTGGTATGTGTTTGAAATTGAGAAATCTTCTTTTTCTTCTTTATCATCATCCTCATCAATATAGTGATCATCAACGCGTAAAAGATTTACATGTTTGGACCGTTTCTGCGAGGTTAGATGTATTGGTGAGACGCTGAATTCCCCTTTTCGTTTAACAAGACAATAAACATTTACGGAAATATTTTTAAGCACTTCAAATCTTACAATGTCATTGAGTGGTACAGGGAATTTAATATTAGTGGAATTTAAATGATGTTGAATATATTCATAGTTTTGCAAACGTGATGGGTTTAAAGAAGCTTTATACAATGCCGATAATATTGCCCACTTGAAGCATTAGGAAAGGATAATTTTGCATTGCAAAAGGATAATCCTTTTCATTTCTAACATTGACACAGGCACGTTTAGCTTTAATAGATGGCGGTAGATCAATAAAAGAACCAACACGCAAAGAATTGTATTTTTGTTAATATTGACATCTAATCTATGGATTGAAATAACGTTAAGATCATATGTTTTTGGGACCGTATATGTAAATACATAGGAAAGACATATGCAAATTAAGGGTGGGTGACAAAAAGGGTTAAAGTTTTAAAATACATATGCAAAATAGGGGGGTGGTGTGTGGCCAAGAGGGAGGAAAGTGGGTGGTAAGGGGTGGTGGGAGGTGATCAAAAAGGGTTAATATGCAAATTAGTGGTGGGGGGCCAAGAGGGTTGAAAAAGGGGTTTGATGGTCAAACTGTTTTAGAACCGGCACAGCCCTACTACTCACTTGCTCGAATTGGCGCTGTTCCCTGGAGCACTGACACACTCACGCAACGTCTGTGTTTGCCATCTTTTTTTTCATTTTCGATTAAAAATGCCACTTTATAAACTTCATTTTTTAATAATTTAATGCAAAATTATGTATTTTTCGGAGAACAGCGAGATTTCTTGAACCCAAATCTATCATCCCTCAAAATTTTAGACAGAAATATTTTCTCATTTTAGAGTAAGATGTATACTACCAAAACACATTTTCCCATACTAGGTCACGTGGGAGGTTCCCACATACCCTTAAATTAAAATTAAATATAAAAGAAATTTTATTTCCTAAAAAAAGTTTTGTTAAATAGGAACTTTGTTGTATGGAAATTCTGTTAATAAAAATACTTTTATGTGAATATTCGGATAAATAGAAATTTGACAAAAAAACAATTTTGATAAATAAAAATTCTTCTTCATGAAAATTATTCTAGACATAGATTTTGTTAAATTGAAATTGTATTATTTGAAAATTCGATATATTAGAAAATCTTCTTTATTAAAGTTCAGTTAAATAAAAATTCTATAAAATAAGAATTATTTTAAATAGATATTTTTCGATATTAAAATTGGGCTCATTGTAAAATCTAGTTTTTTTAAATTCTACGAAATGTAAATTCGATAATTTTTAATTCGACACAACAAAAATTCTGGCAAGTATAATTTGGGCAATATTCATGCGTCCCCATTATTGAATCAAAAAAATTGGGCCCGGAGCCCAATGTGAAGCCTTACAGCGAAAAACGTAGTCTTTTGAAATGAGATTACTAATATTGTGTATAAAAATCGTAATCCTCATAAAATTCTGCGTTCACACATGTGGTAAAAAAGCACAAAATATTAGGCCCAATATTTTTCTTTAAATAAGTGTATTTAAAAAATCGCAGCTTATGGGGTTTTTGGAGTAACATATTAGAAATTCGAAGCTAATTTTCGCATTAGGCGTAGAGCCCAATGTAAGATTCCTCAGCCCAATATTTTTGTCATATACTTCACACGTTAAAACACATAATTTCATAGGGATTACGAATTTCATTCTCAAAATTATAGGATTTTAATTAACAAAAGCAACCTCTAAGAAAATGTTAGCACACTTCACAAATTTTTACTCTACTAACAATGATTAATTTGAATGTTCCAACTAGAGTAACAAGTAATTACACTGGGTTACAAAAAAATGGTTTTTTGAGTACTTTTTGAAGCACTGCAAAATTAAAACGCAACATGATAAAAATCTTTACAAGGGCTTAAATAAGAGCTTAAATCTTTAACTTTAAGTCTTAAAACTGAAAAAGGAATTGAGGAGTAAATTTTCAAAATCTGATAAATACATTTTTTAAAAAAATGGAGATAAACATAAATTTAATATTTTAACGACCTCACAAATCTTCCTGTCGCTGTTAAAATTTAAGAAAAAAAATTTGTTAACAACGAATTTGCAATTTAAAAACTTTTGGACATAACCAAGATGAGTTATAATTTTTATGTTTTTTATTAGAAAAAATTACCAATATCTGTAAATCATTAAATTATGAAAAAGTTTAATTAAAAACAGAACGTCTTGAATATAAAAACATTGTTATAGAATTAAGCTATTACAAATTTTATATTCTAAAAGTAACTGCAGTAGTTATGAGAGAAAAGTCATTTGTTTCAATTTCTCGAAATAAGAAAATATGGACTTATCAGGTTTTGAAAATTTGCTCCTCAATTACAACTGAGCTGATACTAATTTATCATGTAGTCGATATCTCAAGATAAAAAGATATTGTCAGAAATCGATTTTCATAACCGGATTTACTTAAAACTTGTCACTTAAAAGTTTTTAACGTTTCCATTGACGAATAAAAAGTTGTATTTAAAAAATTCAAAGAGGCAGATTAAAAACGACGCCCAAAATTTTCAAAATTGAATGTATTCTTTTGCCATTTTGAATTTTTTAAATCCAACTTTTGAATTGTCAGCATCAAGCAGTAATTCAAAGAATTGCAAAGAAAAAATAATGCATTTTTTTGAAAAAAAACTTGTAATTTAAGAAAATATTTAAGAAACTAAATTTTCTCGACCATATATCAAGATTTTTACCCAACAAACACTTTTACTGAGTATAAGAAACACTGAGTATAAGAAAAATTGGTCCAGTAGTATTTTCTCTAAGCCTGGCTAAATCTCAAAAAATGGAATTTTTTTATTTTTTTTAGTATAATTTTCTATCTAAAGTATCGAATATTTTTTTTGAGAATATAAATTCGCGGTTTTTACAGCGTAAGTAGTAGTGTCACTCTCTTCCCCCACCACTCGCTGTCACCTAGCTGCTAGTGATATACCTTTCGTCTCGCACCTTTTTTGTCAGTCTTCTTCTTCTGACTCGTCTAGAGTCAGAAGACAATTGAAAGCGACTCACTCCTGGCTACCTGGTGCTCAGTAGAGCTGCGTCTTTCTGAATACCAGAGCCTTCCTCATCACTTCCTCCTCCTGGTGACCCGGACTTCCTATGGGCGTTCCCGTGGAAGACTGGTGAGTCAGGTAACACACATCTACCAGGACCATCCTTGTCGAGTAGAGGCACTCCTCTCTTGACAAAGATGATGCACTAGGTCGATTCCCCATCTCGAGGCGCCCCTCGGGTGGAGGAGACACATAGTGAATATTACTTCGCACTAGCTTCGCGTCGGGCATGAATATTGGAACCGAATCCAATATCTAGCTTCTTCCCGATTACGAATAATAATTGACCCCGCGTGGACGATCCTAGTATCCGCCCGTACCGTCGTCTGGGGGGTAAATTCTAGAAAGTACCCCACATGAAAGTAATATGCGTCGTCCTGATCAACATCATCGCGAGCCGCAGCGAACGCTGTACTAGAATAGCTAGTTCTTGTATAGTAATTTTTTCTAGAGTCTAGAATTTTATTTGCATTGTATAGATTCTTTTGTTCTTATATTATTTTATGTAATACGAAGGTTTAAATAAAGACTCGTCAATGACAACATCTCTCCTCTACAACATAGTAAGAAATAGTTCCGAAAATTAATCGAAACATAGATGGCGCTTCACGCCATCTACCGAGATTTAAAGAATCTGTTCAAAATAGGTACCCGGACTCCATTCAGCGAGCAAATCCTTTTGGCAAATGAACTCAGATCATTACAACTACCACGAATCTTAATAGTTAGGGTCCTTTTGTTTCTGTGATAAATATGTTTCTCCCAATTATTAAAAAAGTTAACTTACGTATTCGGTAATAGTGTAGGGATGATCGATGCCATTAACTCTCTCTGACATAAGAACAGCCTTCTGTTGAGTGGCGAGAGCTTCAGCGTGATCACCCATAATGTAGTTTAATCTTGCAAGCATTCTAAGGCACTGGGCAATTTCAGGATGCATCGCTCCGTACACATTATTCAGGAGATTTAAAGCTTCGCTTATTAACTCGTATCCATCTTTTAAATAACCTTGCTGAATTTTACTCTGTCCAGTCGTATAAAAATTGTAAGCATCACTTGCCTGAAAAAAGCAATTTTTAAAGTTTAACACAAAAAAATGGCCATCAAAAATTCCTAATCTAATGAAGTAAATACAGTTTTTTGAAACGTACAAATGTTTAATAGTAAATTTCACTTACTCTAGGGTTGATATGTTTAACTACTGGGAAAATATTGAGTATGTCTTCTTCAAAGAAAGTTGCTCTATTTTTGTTTTCGAAATTATACTCTCGCAACAAGATTTGGATACCAGTCTTGACACAGAAACCTCTAAGAAGAGAAATTTTTTGCAAGTGGAAATATTCTATAGTTCCATCGAGTGACTCTGGAGTAGGCGTGTCCCAATCGTAGTAACTCTTTAAATCCGCTTTGATTTGTTGCCAAAGAACTTTTGGAGTAAGAGAAGCCCATTCTACTTCTGACTGCTGAGGGCCATTGTTTCTACCTTTTCTTTTATTGCGGCGCTTCGCTGTTTTGCTTTGAAGCTAAAGTATAATGACAATTGTAATTACAATTATTATAAATTAAATACAGTTCAATGCATGATAACTGTAATTACCTCTTCCAAATTTTGTTGAGGGTGAATAAGCTGCGCAGATGACAAAAAGCAATTCAAATAGTGACTTATCGCAGCGGACAAACTCATCAATTCTGTTCCCTGTTAAAAAATGATAATCATTATTTCAGTTAATGAAGGTCCTTCTGCTTGTTTTGTTTTTTTTTATTTTCATTAAAAAGCTGAGATTCTTTCCAATATTTGTAAAAATGAAAATGTCAGAACAGAAAGTTTTCAAAATATGTAGAAAAATAATTTTTTATCCCATTTTTACATAAAAAAATGAGTAGTTGAAAATATAATTACCTGCATATATGAGGTGAAAATATGTTTGGCAGAACGCAAAATCAATTCCGATACAGCTATACGATTTAGATATTGCAATTGAGGAACATTAGCGAGCATAGCAGCCAATTTTCCAAGGTAACGAACATTGATTCCTCTTCCATGAAGGGCTTCTACTAATGTATTTCCATCCATTGCTGCGGCCGTGTGATCTAAGCAGTCGCGAATCTGTATCAGAAGACAATAAAATGGTTAAGAGAAAATAAAAATTTTAATGCACAAGACAAATAAGACAAAATAGAAAGTTATGATCTCAGTCCATATTTAAAGTTTCAAAACTCGATTTTTCTTTTTTTTGTATATTTATAATCTAGAAATTATTATAAATGTGCCCCGATATAGCTGATTAAGTCGTAAAAAATGAGAGATATAAAAATTTTTAAAAACCTCGTGTCTAGACCTAGCCAACGTAATAACAAATAAAAAAAATTTTTTTTATTCAGGACCAAGTCTTACCATAAAGTAAGTCGCAGCATTATTCCAGGCGCGCGGTCAAGGAAGCTTCAAGGTTGAGTGGGTTAATATTATTTTTAATTAAAGCAATATTTTAAGGCCAGGTCCAAGTCGAGTCAGCTGTTCCTTTGAAGTTTCAATGGAACAGCTGACACGACTTGGACCTGGCCTTAAGAGTTTAAGAGTGGTAGAATAAAAGGCAAAAAACCATTTTTCATTATCGTGTGTAGGTCATTCGCAAACCTTTCCTAAGAAGAGGCCCGAAATTACGGTCCGAACGTGAACTGACCTCTGAATTCATTAATGTTTATTACAAAAATTAATAACAAAACAACATTATTCACATTTTTTAAATTCAATAACATGAAAATAAAAATATTGAATAACACGAAAACTGTTTTAAAGTATGAAAGAAGAGTGACGTGAAAGGTACTGAAGTTATGGAATTATAATTTCTATGTATTTTAAGAGAAATAAATGAAAAAAGCAAATGATGGTAGGTTAACAGTTTCGTCGAGTAATAGAATCTTCTTAAATATAAAATTAAACTTACAAAAGTAGGAAGCTGCACTGTTAGCAAAAAGTCTGCAGCGTCTCTTATAAGTTGTCTTTGCTTCTTCAATGCAAGTCCATTTGCGTCGGGATGACGAACACCAGGCGAATAAACATCCGGATTAAATCGGACATCAAATTCTGCATCCCGTAAACTGCCGACTGCTGTAGCAGCTCCGCGCACTATCTCCTTCGTACTCTCTTCAACTAATATGTGAAAAATCTTTTTTAATACTCTAAGCACGAAGCAGTTCTTTCATTCTTGAAATATAATAGGGAGACTTCAAGAACGGAAGAATTTTAAAAGGAAAGAAGGCAGAATCTACAACTTGTTGCCTTTTAATTTAATTGTAAAGAAAGTAATCATTAAAATAAGCATTTAAAATAAAAAATCGACTTTTTTCGAGTTGAGGAATTAACTCACGTTCTTGTTTTTCACCACCAGTAATGGAGTCTGTTATGCTTTCTACGATTTTTTTTGCTTCATCAGCTTCTATTGTTGACTGACCAGAAACTTCTTTGTTGCTATCAATAGTCGACACACTGGTCTCATCTTTCTTGTCTTCCTATTGATGAACATAAAAATAACAATATAAAACACTTTACATTCAGCTTGTTTGAAATAAATATTGATTTTTCAAATCCTAACTACTAATTGTTGATAAATGGAAAATTATAGACAATCTATTTTTGTTAATACATAAAATTATACAAAATTTAAATAATAATATTATGTACCTTTGGACACAGTTCTTTATCCTTTTGCGATCTCCTAACTGATGTCAACTGTTGTAAATGGACAGCGGCATGTTTAATGAATTGTACATATCTTGCCTCTACAAAGGAGTCAATCAATTCTTGACGAAGACAGGCCAATCTGTGTTTGTGCTCAACTGGAAATCCTAAAGCCCGTGCTTCTTTACTCAATTCAACGTTATCCACTAAAAATTAATCATATTAAGCTGATAATTTTTCCCGAATTAAAAACTCTTTTAAAATACTTGTACTTTTGTAACATACATTTTAGAAAGTTTACATCCGGAGGGAAAGTTCTTAAAAGATCCAAAACATAATGACGAGAGTCATTTCCAATTATTCCCTTACACTCGACACTGCTACAAAGCTCTATTTCTTCTGCTGCATCATTTATAACTTTGTGAGGTAAAATTTTCAGTTGTTGACCAGCTTTATTTAGCTGTACATAAAAATAACACGAAATAGTAAATTTAACAAATCCTAGAAAAAGTGGAAATTTTAAAAACATTAGAAAAATTATATATATTGTAAATAAATGAATTAAAGAAATTTATTCAAAGCAAAGATTATTCAATATTAGAATTTAGAATATTAGATATTAGATTAGAAAACAACTTTTAAGGTGAAAAATATATACCGAAACTAAATTTGTTTTTTTTATTTCATGTAATCAGTAGTTTCTTATGTCATACTTTTTCGAACCTTTCTAATTCAATGTAAACGACTGGTAACTTTTAAAAAAAATATATGGGACAGACGTTAAGATTTAACAATTTTCAATCGGATCACTAAAGAAAAGTGATTTCTAAAAAGAATCAAATACTACCAAACATAACAGGTGAAAGTAGGGAATAGTAGGTTTTCTGGAAAATTAATTAAAACACTCTACCCGACTCTAAATATAAATGAGTGAGCATACATATTTAGGATTTGATGGAGTTTTTAAAATAATTTTCCAGAAAATTAAAATAATCCACTGTTGCCTACTCTCCCCTATAAATAATATTCTGATTATCTTACCAATTCAAGATATTTGGGATGTGACAAAACTGTTTTTCCGAAATCTATTGAGCCATAAACCACAGATTGTTCTTGTTCGCGTTCCAAAATTCCCGGTATAATAGATTGAGCAGTAACTCGATATCCTCTGTTACAAAATAAGAATAAATACTGATTGAATTTATTTCAAATCAGTCAGGTTGAACATGGTCACTAAAATCAATTTAGCCTTGTCAATTTGCTAAATGTCCAGGTAAATTATTTCTTCGTAGCAAAAAAAAATTATTAGTAAACTTAAAAAATATATAAATTTGAACCTTTAAATAAAAATTTGCGTTATTGTTTAATATAAGGGACATTCCACGCCAACACGGACAGAGCTCTAAACAAAAATGGTTTTGATGTATTTAAACGTTCTATGGCTTAGAAGATTTTTACATTCGTAAAATACTTTTACTAATTAAAAGCTAAAAACCAGGTATATAATTCTGAAACTCATTCTTAAACAGTTTTTAGGGCCACTGATCATAAATCTAAATTTTTTTATGGCGGACAAAAGATCAAAAAAGCAGAAAGAATGGTTTCTTTGTGGAAAACATATTATTCGATAGTTTTTAAGGTCGCTGATGAAGAATTTGATGTTATTTTTTAAAATTTCAAAATGGCGGATCCAAAATGGTGGACAAAAATTTTTAAAAAAGTTCAAAAATTCGTTCTTTTGTTTGAAACTTCCAATATGAATGTTTTTGAGGTTGCTGATAAATTATAAGAAATTAAATTTTTTTAAAAATTTTATATGGATTTATTTTATTTTTATTTATTATATTATTATTCTTGCAGTTAAAAATATTCAAAGTAGTCATGGCTTTATAGTTGAGCCAAATAAAGCTTCGAAAGTATTGCAATACTCGAGTGCTACAACGTTTACAAACATTGTAAATTATCAATAATTTATTTATTTCTTATCAAACCTTATCAACGTTTAAAAGGCCATTTCCAGGGCCAACAAATTATTCATTAAAAGCTTTAAAATTTTTCTAAAAACTTCAACACACAATCGGACTTTTTTAGGGTCACTAAATTGTTTATTACAAGTTTAAGGAGTATTTTAAAATTTCTAGACTTTTTGACTTTTGACAGCTCTATTGGCATCAAAAATGAAATTTTTTAAAAAAACGCTAATGTAGCTAATCTAGCTAAAAAAGTACACTAATGTAGAAATATTTTAAGCCTTAGAACGTTTAAATCCATCAAAACCATTTTTGTTTAGAGCTCTGTCCGTGTTGGCGTGATCAATTTTAAACATCAAACCGAAATATTTTTGTCAAATTGATTTCTGACTATTTGCATTTTCAAAAATTCTAGATTCACCGCTAGATATAAAGAATCTTTTCATCTATCTGCACAATGCACTTCGCACTGTTTCAAAGCACCTATATTCTTTGCGTGTTATCATTTTAATAAATTGTACAATAATATGAATCCTGAACAAGATTTATTTTTTTTCATCAAAAATGACTTCCTCAAATGTCTAGATTTATATGTGAAAAGCTTGCGTGCACAAATTGAGTTTCGATCAAATTTATTTTCTGGCAAATAATTAATTTTCGTCTAAATAAAATTTCTGCAATATTAATAACCGGTTTAATAGAAAGTCTGCAAAATTTATATTATAAGAATTTAATATTCTTCATAATAAGATTCTTTAAAATCAGAATTCTAAAAAATTTGTTTCAGAGCTTATTCATGCATCCCAAATTGATTTTCAGCTGCGACCAAGTCCAGCCAGATTGATTTGAAATAAATTCGGTCTATTACAAATATAATTAAAATATCAATGTTTATTTTATCGGCAGTATTTCATTTATATTAGTAAAAACTATTTTTCAGTAACAATGAAATAAGCATCGATATAAAATAGAATAAATTAGGAATTTAAATTTCGCCCTAAGTTCCAAAACTAAACTAAATCATAATTGTATTTGTTTTTTTATGCAAACTAAACAACTTTCATTTCTCAGTTGAAACATTTAAGAAATAAAAAATAAATATTGATAAAAATTCACCTATAATCGATTACGACTGTTCCAAGAGTATAAAGCCCCGGAAGATCTACAGCTGCATAAACTCGAACACCTTGAAGATCATTTCGGGGCGCAACAAAAGCTGCAGCATCACCGCCGAGCTCCTTATAATGATCTCGCACATCGAAACCAAGAGAGAAAAATATATTATTCCAAATAAACATTTGCATCTTAGCCTCCTCTCCAGGATTAATTGCCATAACATTTCCATCAATTACTGCAACTGCACCTCGAGTTGCGGCAGCCACAAAGTCACTATGAACCTGAATACAATTAGTTACGATAAAAATCATTATGTCGGAAATGCAAATTAATATATTTTCTTTTCAAAGAAACATAAAGCACTCAAAATAATTGATAACCTTAAAAATTGCTCGTTCCCTCAACAATCTTTCTGGTAGATTTTTTCGTGGAAGTTCTCTTGTTGTTTGCAATTCCTCATTCCAATCACGTGTTTGGCCTGGAATATGTTCTTCATAACCAAGCTTGGAAGAAAAGGCTGTAAATAAATACATCAATTCAAATACTATTCTATTTTTAAAAACAATTTTTTTTATAATTTTCTACTCTTCTATAAATAAAAGACAATTTAAGGGATAGAGTACAAAAAGAACATGACGTGAAGAAAGAAATTTTAAACAATTCTATAAGAAAAAAGTAATTTTCCATTTTTTTAAAAAGAATTCTAGCGTCGGAAATTATTGGTACGGCTAACGTGCGAGGAGTGGAAATTTGATGTTGATTTTAAAGCAAGGTATTTTAAGTTAGAAAAAAGTTAGAGGCTTGTAACTTAGATGGTTAGAAAGCTGATAAATTTCTGCGTCTGAATGTTTTATTTAATTTATTTATTAATTTATTAAGTAAATAATCATTTTGAATAAATGCAATTAATTTATATTCCTCAGTAAAATATATTAAAAATAAATAATAATTAGTAAACATAAGAAAGAATGAAAATGAAGAATCTTACTGTCTTCTGCACGAATTGCATCAATTGTGTGTTCGATTTGAGGAGCACACCACGCATGCAATTGATATGGTGTCGCTACTCTCTCAAACGGATGCCTTAGTGTTCGTCGTCTCTGCATGGCTGCGAAACCTCTCTTGAACGCAGGACTCAGTTGGTTGAGAAGCTCTATTAGACTGTGACAGAGATGACTTGGAGTTGCTGGTTTTGGACTGAATGTTTCTTTGGAAGATTGATTGACGAAAAAGCCACGAGCACATGCTGTCAAGTAATACTGCTTTTCTTCTAACGTTATCACGTGCAAGTACATCAAATCGCCGTGCAGTTTTCTATGACCTGGTGGTGGATTCCATCCTGAAGTTGTTAAAACCTAAAGGTTTTTTCAATTTTCAATATATAGACATCTATAGACATTTCCTTAAATAATTATTCAGAAATACAAATAATAAAAAAGCATGCTTATGGTTTAGAATGTGCTAAACACAAATACACAAAGCGTGAAAATTTCTAAAGTTTCTTCCTGAGGCCTGAAATGTTATTGTTATATTTTAAGAAATTGAAAAATGCACACATAAATTTTTTCCCTCTGTACACTAATGTGTGTTTAATTTTTTCTTAAAAGTATATTCATATAATTTTACCTTCAGACAGGGTGGACATTTTTGTTCTTTTGCTTGAGGTTGAAGAGGAAGTAAGGGTCTGTCTTTGCAACTTGGTATGATGTAGTCTGGTGGAGTACAGTCAACAGAATCAGCTCTAGATTTCTTTTTCTCCATGATGTCACCATTCGTGATAACATTTAAAAATGAAAGACTACTGCATTCAACTCCATTGTAGGCATCAGCGGGATCCACGGATTTTAACAAATCCCGAACATGTCGTACATGAATGCGAGCCTCGCGCATTGTATAAGGCTCCTCAACAACTTTGATCACAGATCCCTCTTTCAAACCCTCGATATTTTTTAATTCAGCAAAATTGTCCAATGTATTGCCATCAAGTTGAAGAGAAAAACACGTTCGGTGACAAGTATCTTCACGGTCCATTAGAAGTTGGTGAATTTCCTAAACAGACAATTTTCTTAAATAAAGTTTTCACAACTTTAATCTTGAGTCAAACCACGTCAACCGTGAGTAAAAACTTTCTAGATTTTTGGACAAACAAAAACAATTGTGAAAATCTGTATCTCACAACAAACCAAAAAAACACTTTAAACCTTATTTCAAAATTTTCAATTTTTATAACTTTTTTTTAAAATAACAAATTTTTGCATCATTTTTTTAAAAAATTAATAACTTTAATTTCGGTTGTTAGAAATTATTGGCAATTTTTTTTGAATTCAATGAATATCCACTCTTTTATGTAAACATAATTGTGAAAAAAATTTCAACATTTCTTAATTTTTAATAACAATTTTATAAACAATTTGTATTTTTTATACTTTCTATAAAAAGGATTATAATGAAATTTACATGTAACATACCTTGGATAATCGAAATTTTTGTTAAATGATCTTTAATAAAGTTGAAAAAAGTCCCTGGAGCCCGATTTTTGATTTTCAATTTGCATAAATAATTATATTAATATAGACAAATGAAAGAAACGTGTTTTTCTATATATTACTCTTATTTTCAAAAAAATAAAGAAAGTTTTTATTGTTAAGTACTTCAATTTATTCCACTGGATCTCTAAATTGTAGAATGTTGATATAGACCCATTAGTAAATTGTTAAAAAACGAATATTATAAACAAAATGTTAATTTAGTCAATGACATTGATTAATTTAAATTAAACTGATTACTCGGGGGTGTTCGGGGTCGCTGATCACGCATTACATGGCAGTTTTTCAAAATTATAAATGTCGGATCCAATATGGTGGACGAATTTGTAATATCTTTAATTTGGAAATTTGTAGATTTTTTAAAATACGCGATTTTTACATATTCGTCCACAATATTGGGTCCGACATTTTTAATTTTAAAAAACTGACATGGAATTCTTGAACAGCGTTCTCGAACACCCCTGAGTAATCAGTTACATTTAAATTATTAATCAATGTCATTGACTAAATTAACAAATTTGTTTATCATATTCGTGTTTTAACAGTTTACTAATGTGTCTTTATCAACATTCTACAATTTAGAGGTCCAGTGGAATAAATTGAAGTACTTAACAATAAAAACTTTCTTTATTTTTTTGAAAATAAGAGTAATATATAGAAAAACACGTTTCTTTCATTTGTCTATATTAATATAATTATTTATGCAAATTGAAAATCAAAAATCGGGCTTCAGGGAATTTTTCCAATTTTATTAAAGATCATTTAAAAAAAATTCCAAAATCGGTTGAGATTGGTCGGCTTTAGACTGTTTTGAACCCTACTTTTTCATTTCAAACCATTTTGGTGGGCGGTGTTCGTCACAAAACATTCAAAATTTGTTATTTTAAAAAAAGATTATAAAAATTCAAATTTTTGAAATACGGTTTAAACGAGGGGGAATTTACTAGTTAAAAACGTGTACACTTGACTACCGGTATTACACCTCATATTACCCTTATTACTAAGTTATTACACGTTATTACAGAGTATTACACATTATTACAGAGATATTACAGATTTTTTTGCGTTATTACAGCATCGTAATAACGCATTATTACACGGTATTACACGTTATTACACAAGTATTACAGGAAGAGTGTACACTTGACTACCTGAGTAAATTCCCCCTCGGGTTTAAGGGGGGAACACCAGTTGTAACTTTCGAAAAATCGATTTTTTTTTGCATTTTCTTAAAGTATACATATTTAGAAATGTGTCTGTAAATTTTAAACTTGATCCGGTGAAAAATAAATGAGATATACAGAACACTGCAGCGGCGCGTCCCGTGGCTTCAGACAAGGTGGCCAGCCATACCTGACCCTAACGACAGATGGCCTTTTCCTATGATTTAGAAACGGCAACCACTGCGGAAGAGTTATTATATGGTCCAGGAATCGATGACTCTTTGTAAATTGGAAACAAAATTTCTTCTGAACAAAAAAAAGTAAGTTGAAACTTTGAATGCGTTTTTCTCAAAATGACATTTTCCAAGTCGGTGACCACGATTACTCGAATACCATTAAACCGATTTATTTAAAATTTAGTGTGCTTCATTTACACATATAAGTCTAGTTCGTGATCGAAGGATTTTTTTTTTATGCAAAACTTTTTTTTATATAGCTGAAAATCGACCGTATTTTTTTAACGAAAATCATACTTTTGACTTTGACAGGTCGCCATTTTGTCAAATTTTTTTTTTTAAATCCTTCGATCACGAACTAGATAATCTTATAATAAATGTAAATCAACTTCATTTTTGTATTTCAGACGAAGTATACTTGCAGAATGCTGGTCACCGCAATTCGCCTTTTTTCTTAAGGCGCCACTTCAATGGCTCATATCTCTAAAAGGTTTTGTTAAAAAAAATTTTTTTTTCTTTTAAATTACAGCTTTTAACATGTACTTTTAACTAATAAATAGTATTCTTTAAAAAGATTCATTGTTCTTTTGGAAAATATTCTTGTAAAAAGCATTATTTCTTGAGTTACAACTGGTGTTCCCCCCTTAAAGTGTTTTTTGGTTTGTTGTGAGCTACAGATTTTTTAATTATCGCCCTATAAAAACGGCACTGAACGTGAAAATGATACATTGATTTTAAAATACTTTTTTCTCGAAACGCGGACACTTTTTTTACAATCGAACAAAATACCAAGGATCCTAATTTTATAAATTTTTTAAATTTGAAAGATTGTGCAAATCTATACAAAAACGCGATTGTAAAATGAATGTATTGCTCAAGCTGTAAAGTACTGTGGTCAAAAAGAATTTCGCGGATTCGAAAATTGGAAACCTCTGTCGGATATGCTTGATCTTATCAATAAATGGTTTGATTTGTTTAACTCAATTAAAAAATTTAAAGATTATCCTGAAGCTCATGCCTTTGGAGTCGAATTTGAAAACAGTGTGAAGTATTAGAAGAAATGTCTGAATTTATTAACTCTATGAGAGTTGTAGGAAGAAAGGGTTTATTACCCTTTCAAAAAGGAATTTTTTTATCTAACCTTTCTCTACCAAGCTTATTTGCTTATTTAAGGCAACAGTATAGTTCAGAAAATTTCAAAGTGGAATATTTACTAACGAACAGACTTAATCAAGACATTTTAGAAAACTGTTTTTCTTACATTCGTGGAATAGGAGGTCAAAATGATCACCCTACGCCTTTGGATCTTAAATATCGAATGAAATGGTATATTATGGGAAAACATTCGGTAGATCTTTTTTCAGTTAATGTTAATACAGATGCTGATAAAGAAGAAAAAAATCTTATCAATGTTTCGGATGTGGTTTTTAATTCAAATTATCAAAATAAAGGCTTTGAAAACTTAACGAATGAAGAAAAAGATCAGGATGATATGTCAGAAGAAGAAGAAGAATTAATAAATAATGATTTATTTAAATCTGTTGAAGAAGTAAACTTGAACGATGATGATGATGAAGAAGTACACGAATTGATTCAGCTTTCAGATAATTTGAAAAACAGTGAAGACTGTGTCGAAGGTTAATTCTTTATCTTCTATACCATATAATACAATACCGTATAATTATAATAATAATAGTTTTCATTGAAATATTTTATATATTGTACTCTCTAAATCAGAATCAGTCAAAGGACCCCGCACTCTTAGTACAGAAAATTGCTATCGGCCAATTTTTCTGAAACTCTGCAGTTTTGTAGTTTAAGGACTCCTGAACAAAAAATGTTAATGACAATATTCAAAATAATGGCCAGTTTTTGAGCTACAGTAGCTCAAAGTTGAAAAAATGATAACGTAATAAATAATGTTTTTGTGAATGTTCTGTTCTTATAATCTATCAAAATCACTCAGAATCTGTTACTCGGGGGTTTTTGGGGTCACAGATTACGAATCTGAAGTCAGATTTCAAAAATTCAAAATGGCGGATCTAATATGGCGGACACGATTTTAAAAAGGTTCATCGGATTTGCTTGAAACTCGTTACGCGGGTGTTTTTGGGGTACCTTATTGCGAATATGAAGTCAGAATTTCAGAATACCTAAACCCGTGTCACAGATGATATTGGAGCTGACCCTGTATTTCGCTTTATTTTCGTGCGGCTTATAATAGCACTTATATTCACGTCCAGCTGATGTCTATGACCGTTCAAAAGACGTTCAACAGATACATTGTGTCCTAGAGACATCCTTAGAACACAAGTTGTCTTTTGGATGTCTTTCGAATGGAGATAAATGTCCTAAGGATGTTCTAAGGACGTCGTAAAGACATCCTATGTCCCAGTGTCTATAGGGAATAAACCGTAAAAAGTATAAAAAGTGGATTTAAAAAGACGGCAAGATTTTTCTCACAATAAAAAACATTTTACCACAATACTTTTAACTCGATAAGTTTTTGCTGTTTATGCTGACTATCTCATTTGGCATTACCAATTAGAATAATAGGTTTTAAATGCAAATAATTTTTATTTTATATCTAGGGACTTTAATGGATATTTTATTCTAGTCCAGACGCGAATAGTAGTTATTTATGCAACAAGTATACATCTGTAGGAAGAACATAAGTTGCGTGAAGTTTGTCACACGAGCAAAACAGGAACATTAATTTCGAAAAATATGTATTAACTGGGTTAGGAATGCATAGAAAATAAAAGTATGGACAGTAAAACCGAATAATAAATTACTTTCAGTTTAAAATATTGTTCTTCAACATATTTTACAGCATAAAATAGCATAAAACCTACATATTGCTACGTCATTCTACATTATTTTTAATACTTAAGACAATTATTAAAATGAATGATGACTATTTTTTTTACTAAAATAAGAATAACTTGTTAAAAACTGGTGTGAGTTTAGTTTAATTTAAAAATTGACATACCAACATAATGACAAAAGTTGCATAACAACGGTTACCATAATTACCGTTACCAAAGCAACCGCTGATATAGATACCGTTACAATTGCAATCGCTACAATTGCAACCATTAACA